TTAAAAGTCTTACATTGCTCAAACAATTGCTTTGAGGCAATTATTTTAAGAAATCAATCAAAAATATGGCTTTTATTGAAAGGAAACGGTTAAGGTTACTCAATGAGAATCTATGCATTTCTTCCTCTGTTTTTGCCATTTCTTTTCATTTTTGTCCAACAGCGAAACGAGAGAGACCGTCGAAAATCCCTAACTCAGTGGTTTTGCTGAATCACGTGCTAAAACAGAAGGAGAGAGGTCACAAAATTGTCATAGATACCATAAGTGAGGTTTAATAGACTATTTATTACTGAGGGATGCATGATATTGTATACGGTATTACCTCATCAATGCTATTCAAGTGAAAACAGCAAACGTAAGTAGTGATTTTTTTTGAGTTACAAATAATTATGCGAGTATGCATGTGTTTATACACTATTGAATTTAGTCTTGGTATGCCTGTGGTGCGATGAAGGTCGATATACCACAGCAAGCCCAACTTCTTTTCTACAATTGTTCGGATTTAGTCTAGAAAGAGTAGGTTGTGACTTAAATATTTTCGAGTATACCTTTCGACTGGCCTTTTTCTGGATTTTAATTACCCTTGCAAGACGTTCACAACCATCGATAAGAAGCGCCACGTCTTTGCTGCCAATAGCTCAATTGTAGTACCCAATCCCATGGGGGGAGGGGAAGGTGTAAGTGATGGCGTACAAGTGGCTTGCTAATTGATACACTTGATGTTCTTGAATTTATTACTTTTTACAACCAAAAAATATCAATACAAAAAAATAAAATACAGCATTTGACATCAATTTATTTTGCTCTTTTAGAATTTTGTAGTTAACCATAAAAATCCAAAACTGTGGAAATTCTGGAACTATAACAACTCCCTAAAATATACTAGTAATTGATGAAAATCTAGCCCAATCCATGTAATAACACTATCGCTATTCATAGGATACTTCGGTTCGTGTTATTTCATGTATTGGGCTGATTTTTTTTTGAAATAATGAAACTGCGGTCATTTAAGTTTTTTCATATTTGGGACTGTGTAAATGACCGGCAGGCGATCAAGGATTTTGAAATACTAGATAAACGGCAGTTCAATTTATTTTCAAAAATGCAGCCAAAAATAATGTAATAAATTCTTAATAATGATAAGATAGTTTGGTTCGTCTTAATGCGTGTATTGGGCTGGATTTAAAATTAAAAAAAGATAACATCCGGTCATTATATCGTTCTTATATATGAGTGCGGTATAAATGAATGCGATTTTCGACAAGGATCTCAAAATGCCTTAATTCCGTTTGGGCAGATCTTGAAGATCATATATACTGTATCAAGATTAGTAGTACAATAGCAGTGCATGTTCTTTCTGTCTGCCTAGATACGGTTAGGTTTTTGCTCCCAAAAGYCCCGTTGTAGAACCACATGCGGTAGGGGAGGGGTAGGTGTGAGTAATGGCGTACAAGG